TGTTTTTGTTTTTTGGTTTTGCTATTTCCTGTCATGCTCCCTCAGGGGTGGAAATCCTCATGCAGACTCCACAGGTGGTCTAGGGTCACACCCTGTGAGGGCAGGTGACAGCAGGTCAGTCAGCTGCCAGACCAAGGCAACATGTCCCAGTCAACCTCCTGTCTCTGGGCCTGCCGACCCAGTCCCGGGCCAGTGGTGACCTCCAAGAGTTTTCATTCTCTGTGCTAGAATGTGCTTGGTGCCTGGACTGGGGTAGGTGAAGGGCTCATCCCTGAAAAGTCACCCGCGAAACACCCCGTGGTGCTGCCAGCCCTGGACAGCGGGCAGGGATGGCCAACACGTGTCTGAGCTCCATCCTATACTCTTGTGGAGGGGAGGGCCCTGCTGTGGGTACAGGACGATGGTGGAAAGCAAGCCTTCTCAGGCCGACATGACTCCATCATTCCCTGGGGGAAAGAGTGGCTGTGGTCATGGGGCAGGGATGGAGTGGGGAGGTCTGGTAGGACCCAGGGTGCCAGGGTACTGGGAGCAGACAGCTGAGAACCCATCTGAGAGGGGCAGAGAGGGCAAAGGAGGCAGGACTAAGCCCCGGGCAGTCTCCATTGTTCCAGCCACATCTTCAATCATGCAATGATCAAATTATTAGGAATTTCAAAACAGACAACACAGAGCCTTAAAACCCCAGTGCAGGGCTCTTCCGCATGCCAGGCACTTGCTGACTGAGCTGGTCCTTTGCAGCATGCCCACAAAACCAGCCATTAATCCCAGCCACATAGAGTGAGGCAAAGTGAGTTCGCATACATCAAGCGCAATGCCTGCCAAATAGAGTGTTCTCAGTACAAACCAGTCGCTGAGGTTACCTTCCGATAGCCCCTGTTCCTGCTCTTCTACCCGTGACCTGTTCTCGTAAGAGGGTATCTTTTAAAAATGCAAATCCAGTCATGTTGTTCCTTCATTTGAAATGCTGAAGTTACTTCTCTTTGCTCTGATAAGAAAGTTCAAATTCTTCATGTGGTCTGTGAATCCCTGGCACAGTCTTCCTAAGTCACCCCCTACCCCCTCACCTCAGGCCCTTTCCTCCCCCCTCACTGTCCTCTAAGCATGCTACTCTTCATCCTGAGGGTCAGGCTTTTCCCCCCTTAGGCTCTTGGCCACAAGGGAAGGGAGGAGTTCCAGGCAGAGGGAACAGCCTGTGTGAAGCCTTACTCATTTTTAGGTTTGAAAATATCACTTCCTCAGGGAGGTTTGCTTTGAGCTTTCTGGCTAGCTAAAACAACCCCGCCCCATGATGTGCTCTCATAATACTCTGTATTTTTTCTTTATAGAACTTCTAACACTTCTAAGTAGAATAAACTATCAAAAGATTATTTATTGAATGTGTCTCTTTCTAATTGAACTGTGAGCATCTTGCAGGCAAGTTCCATAATTCTCTTGTTCACTGCTACATTCCAGTGCCTAGTTGAGGACCAGACATGTGGTAGATTCTCTGTAAATATTTGCTGAAGTACTTAACATCTAGTGCTTAACTGAGATGGCCTGAGGTTATTATTTGGTAAAGAATGCTCTTTATATAGGTGAATCCTGGTTAGGTTTTAGAAGGAGGATAATCTTAGGTTTCTTTTGATTCTTGCTTGCTCTCCTGGACCTTCTGGATATCACCTCTTTTGGTCTAAAAACCTTGTCTTCAGCTATTTCCCAGTACCGTTTCCTGCTGTTCCCCTGTATTATCTTTCCTCAGCAAAAGATATGTGCATATTTCTTCTCCATAGTCTTTGATTCTCAACTTCTTCCCCCTGTCATTTGTGCAGTCCCTGACCCCTCCTTATATATTCAGTTGTTACTGTCTTTACATCAACATTTTCTATAATTTTCCTGTAAGCTGTCTCATATTATTTCAAGGTGGGAAGGGTACTGTGATGCAGCTTGCAGAAGAATCTCTGCAGAAGGAAATGGTCTCATAAATAAATATACTGTTTTTTAAATAACCTTGTCATATAAGCAATGATGAATTAACTTGTGAGTTTCAGCTGTCTGTATTACACAGTTTGATAATCACAGAACAGGTGCAGAAAGCAGGGCCCAGGGTACATAGCCACTGAGTTTCAGGAGTATTTTTTTTTTTTGCGGTACGCGGGGCTCTCACTGTTGTAGCCTCTCCCGTTGCGGAGCACCGGCTCCGGACGCGCAGGCTCAGCGGCCATGGCTCACGGGCCCAGCCGCTCTGCGGCATGTGGGATCCTCCCGGACTGGGGCACGAACCCGTGTCCCCTGCATCGGCAGGCAGACTCTCAACCACTGCGCCACCAGGGAAGCCCTCAGGAGTATTTTGAGATGGTCCAGGATATATTTGTCATTGTCTACATCCTAATAAGACTGTGCTTCCTTTTCAACTCTCATTTTATCACTGCCTATAATAAAGGGGTGGATTAATTTCATCCGTAAACACAGATATGATAGTTTTATCCTATGGCTATGAATGGTGCTTTAAAGAGTCAAAATGATAAACCAGTGTAGTAATTTACCATAATTACAGCCATGAAATATTACTTAGAATTAGTCATGGCAGTAATACATGGCTCAGGAAGTTCTAGTGAAATCTGTGAAGTGAGAGAGAACAAAAGGGAGGAAACAAGGTATGAGGACAGGCAAAGTTTGTAGCCAGTAATCCAGACAGTTGGGGAAAATAAATGCAAGCTGGAGGACTCCGGGAAAGATCTGTCCTGGGAGGAGATGCCCTTGTTTTCTCTGGAAAGCCCGCCAAGTTTAGGAGACTTGCCACAGTTTAATTAAAGTCTGCAGCTGGTGTGAAAGCAAAGGAGAAAAGAAATTAGGGCAGTGCAAAAACTAATGAAAGTCTCATTTTAAACTTTTCTCTCTATTATGAAAGAAATGTGACTTGTCAGCTGTGGCCCCATTCACTGGGACAAAGCCCTCAGGGAAGGAACATTCTGGACAACAAAGAGAAAAGACCTGTAGTCAGGTCTCTTTGGACTTGATTGCCACTGCCTTTTTCAGTAAAAACTCATCAAAATCCTTGTTTGTTTTTTAAAAAACAAATTGGTAAAAGAGAGCAGTACAGATTGAACAGCTTTTAACGACAGGAACTTTGAAATGAAGAACTGACCTTTGCAATCAGAGCTGGATTCACGTTCAGACTTTATCAACTGTATTAGTCAGAGTCTTCAGAGAAACAGTACCAATAGGATACATCCTATTATGGGAGCTTATGAGTCCAAAACCCATATGGTAAGCCAGCAGGCTGGAAATTCAGGGAAGAGGTGACCTAGTCTTGAGTCCAAATTCCACAGGGCAGACCAGGCAAGCTGGAAACTCAAGCAGGTTTTTTCTTTTCCCCTTAAATTGCTTTATTTTTTAAAATTTTCATTTCATATTGGAGTATAGTTGATTTACAATGTTGTGTTAGTTTCAGGTGTACAGCAAAGTGATTCAGCTATACATATACATCTATCCATTCTTTTTCAAATTCTTTTCCCATTTTGGTGATTACAGAATATTGAGCAGAGTTCCCTGTGCTATATAGTAGGTCCTTGTTGGTTATCTGTTTTAAATATAAGAGTGTGTATATGTCAATCCCAAACTTATAGTTACCAAAGGGGAAAGGTGGGGGAGAGAGATACATTGGGAGTTTGGGATTGACATCAAGCAGAGTTTCTATGTTACTGTCTTGTGGCTGAAACCCTTCTCCTTTAGGAAACCTCCGTCTTTGCCTTAGCCTTCAGCTGATTGGATAAGGCCCAGCCACATGACGGAGAGTAAACTGCTTCATTGAAAACCTACTGATGTGGATGGTAATACCTCCACAGCAACAACAGCTAGACTGACGTTATACCAAACAAATGGGCAGCATGACCTAGCTAAGTTGACACATGAAATTGACTATGAAACCAACTAATGTTAAGAATAATATGTTAGTTAATGTTTCTGTAACACTTCCTTTTGGCCAGGCACAGTGAACTCATTTAATTCTCACAACAACCCTATGATCTGGGTAATATTATGATTCTCATCTTATGGATGAGATAACTAAGATAAAGGGAAAGTTAAATAACTTCCCAAGTTCACAGATGATAAGAGGCAGAGCTGGGATTTGAACTCACATAACCTAACTCCAGAATTTGGGTTCTTAGGCACCACAATATGTTGAATTTTGGCGATTGAATGAACTTCCCCGACCTTTGTTCCTTTATGGGAAAACACATATAATAGCAGATAATGTGTGGTTTTAGGGGAAGATTAAATTAGAAAATGCATGTGAAGATCTAACCATAATACCTAATAGATAGTAGGTTCTCAATAAGACTTAGCTCTCTTCCCTGACCTTAAAATTAATTGCTTTTATATTGTGTCTTAAGTTTAGAAATCCCTTCATTCTAGAGAGCCTCACTAAAACATTGAGGTCTTAATTTTTGTAATTATTTACTTACTATTAATTTCTCTGGGTAATCCCCAAGTTTCATTTGGGCTAGAACCTGTGTTACCCCATGCGGATCTTCAGCACTAAACTCAACCCTTGGCATATTGTAAGGTCTTCAATTCATGCACTAAATCAGTAAACAGATTTAGAAATTAATGCCTTTTATTGTCAGTTGATAGACAAGAAACTGAGGCACAAAGTGGTTAAATGACTTGCTCAAGGTATATACAATTTATAGACTGGTATATCCAGGTCTCCAGAATTTCATTGTTTTTGTTTATTTGTTTGTTTCCTTCCAAAAGGCAGTGTTGGATGTAAGCAGAGGCATAGGCAATCTTAAGGTTCATCACCTCCCTGCCCAGTTGGAGTGTGAGAAACTTTAAATAACCTCCATGCCTGCTTTGGGTCACGATCAGTATCTGAGAGTTGTTGACTCCAAGAGCCCTCATTTGGAGTGGGCTTCTTCTCATCAGGCAGGTGAATAGCTTTAGAACTCAGTAATTAAGGGGTCAATGATTCACGCAAAGAGTTCCACATTTTTTTTTTTTTGCGGCCTCTAATAAGTTTATTGTGTCTTCGAGACACTACAATGTAGACTCCTCTCCCAGAGAAGAGTCTTTCAGAGACAAGGGACCATTATCCAGATGAGATGTTCATTTGTCATTTTCATAGGCAGCTGGATTCTTCCTCTTGGATTTCTCAAACTCCTGTGTTCCCCACGTGTAGACAAAATAAAACACTACAAGTGGCGGCACGACGCGAAGGATGCACGCCTGAGTGCGGTGCAGCATGTTGGGCATGCCCTTGCTGAAGCAGTGCGGGAAGGCGCGCTGCTCCAAGGGCGACAAGCTGTAGGTGATCACAGGCCGCACCCGCATCAGATGCCCAAACTCGCGGCCCATGGTCGCTGCAGCGCCGAGGTCGCCTCTCCCTCTGCAGCGCAGAATCCACCGGCCTCCCATTCCACATTTAGACACAGATAACACGCACTTCAAAAAAGAGAGAAAAAACCCTCACCTTTAACCAACTTTTATTCCTCTTGCTCTCTCGCTTTCCTGGAAACTGATGAGAAGTACCTCTGTAATTTAAGCCTAATGACAAAGTGCAAAGTCATTGCCTACTTTTATTGAATTGTCTTCTGCTTTATGGACTAATTCAAGGAATGACGCACTGCTACACAAACCCATGTGCTCATCCCCATTCAGCTCAGCTTTCTCCTGCCTAGGATTCGCTGTCTTTGCTGTAGGAGACTGATCGTGGACTTGAAACACAACCACGGGACCAGTTCTGCCTTGGCCATTTATACTCTGAGTGGCCTCAAGTAAATGACTGAACCTCTCTCTGCCTTGCTTTCCTGACGTAGAAAATGTGGGTGATAATTTCTACCCTAACTTCTTCATGGATAAGTGAGATTTCAATTAGGTAATTTATTTAAGAGTCCTTTGAATAAAATAATAAAACATATAAATAAAAAACAAAGTGTATAGACATAAGCTATTATTATTGTCACCAAGGGTTTTTTGAAAGGAAAATGCATCCTACTCGGTATTTGTTTCCTTTACACTATAACTTCAAAGTCCAGATTTTAAGTAGGGGTAAATAGATGACCAACTCACATTCTTCCAGGCGTTACCACCTTCTCATCATTCTGAATTTCCTCAGAATGCCAACGTTCCAGTCACCCTGTGTTTCCTGATCTCCTATAGATTCTTGGTTCCTATTATTTATACTTTCTTTTCAACACCTCAAATCAAAACTTTATTGTTTTCCGAGAAGTCCTCCTGTTTCCAGTCTCTCCTAGACTGATCTTCATAATGGCTTTCCACTGCCTGGAGAAAATTCCAAATCCCTTAGAACTCTGCAATTTGGAACTGTCAAGACATCACTGCTTTATGTTTCCAGGTTCCATAAGGAACCCCTCTGCCCCGCCCCCATCCACAAATCTGCTCGTTTTACTATTCCTTTGGAACTTCAGTGAGGCTTATTAGAGTCCTTCACAAAATCCTTCCTTCCTTAGCCTACAAACCATTCAGTACACTGGGGTCTTACACGTGTTATGAAAACTCTAGGATTATCATTTCTCTCCCTCTCCTGAAAACTTCTGTCAGACCACACTGTCCTTAGACCAGTATCCCTGAGAGGATTGTTAAGGTCCTTTATAACGTTCTTAGCTTATGCACTTCACCCCACACTTCTTCCCCAAACAAATCATTTCTTATCAAACTTCAACAGCCCTTTGTTTCCTGATACTGCTCCCTGACCAATCTCTTTTCCTGGTTCAATTTCTCTTCCTGCCCCTTCTCGGCTTATCAGATTCTCAGCAGTCTTTATAAAAACAGCTCATGTAAAAATCTCCTCACAAACCTTGCTCTGTTGCTGCATGTTTTCCTTCACCGACCTCCAAGAATACAGAGGAGGTAGGATGGTGTAGGTATCTAGGTATTCTAGAAATAGAATTGCATTTGGGGTCACACAGAGCTGTGGTTGGAATCCCAGTTTGGCTTTTAATATTGGTGAGTCCTTGGGAAAATTTCATAACGCCTTGAGCTTCCTTTTCCTTATCTGTAAAATAGAAGTATTAATTATAACCTTACTTTGATTGTAGTGATAGAATGAGGCAATTTATATAAAACATCTGCCACATAATAGTTATTCAATAAGTGGTAGCTACTTTCATCATGAGTACTGCCTCTGTCACCCATTTGGCGTCTACCATATGCCACCTTGTGTTAGTTTATATGTCTCCTCTAAATATGGTTTTCATAAACGTGCTGTGTATTACACTTATTTTGAACGTCCCAGAGTGGTAAGCCCAATGATGGTATCCCCACATTTATTAGAAACCTAAGAAGCCCATCTCTTGAAAAATTCATTTCAATCGTATGTCTTGCAAGTTTAAGTACAACACTTATAAAGTGTCAGTAAGTAGAAGTCCTTTAGGGTTAGTTTGGCATGTTCATTGAGCATCACTTTATAGTCCTATCCTGTTGTCTGTATGTCATCAGTTGAAACTTAGGAAGGGACTCAGACCATCTCTGAGGGTGATGATAGATTATTGAGTCCCCTCACCTCAACCACACTGAAGCAGTTTATAATTTACGTATGTACTGAGCACATTGAGGGATTCATAATCACTCTGAAGTCTGAGATCCCTTGATATAGAGGTAGCTGAGCAGCTTTGAGCCACACTATACCCCTCTGAACCATAATTTATTTTTTAAATATAAATTATCATAATTCTTTCTCATAAAGCTTGTATAAAAAAGAAGCTCTTAACCCATAGTCTGGTATGTGGTAGTTGCCTAAAAGCCATAGCTGTTATTATCCTTGTTAGATTGGAGGCTGTGATGATTGTGACCCAAGGAAGATGACTCAAAGACTTTACCAGCTAGATCCTTCTCAAAGACTAGTCTAGGACCAGAACCATGGGTGTCCTCTGAGAGCTTATTAGAAATGCAGAGTCTTAGGCTCTATGACTTAACAACTGAATTCAAATCTGCGTTTTGACAAGAAATCCAATGTTATACTGGAAGGCGCATTAAAGTTTGGGAAGCAGTGGTCTAGATCAGATTCTGAATCAGTAGGTCTAGGAAGGGACCCAGCCCTCGGCATTTCTGACAAGCTCCCAGTGCTAGTACCAGTGCTATTTACCACATACGACGCTATGAGTTACCAGGTTGGATCACTGATCCCAAACTTGGCTACACACTAGAACCAACTTGGGAGGGGGCTTCAGAAATATGGGTGATTAGTTTTCACTCTCAGAGGTTTCATTGGAATGGGATGCAGCCTCAGCCTCCAAACTTGTAAAATGAACTAGTTTATTCTAATATACAGAGAAGTTTGAGAACTGCTGCTGTGGATTAATTTGGTTGGGAACTTTTTTTTCGTGCATTAATCAAAAGCAGCATTTCAGCCAAGATATTGCATAAATCAAAAAATTTAAAAAATCCATCACTGAGATTTTACTAGGAATATTTCTGACAGAAAAAAAAAAGTAAACATATATATGTACAAACACAAAGACATATAGATCAATTTAAATCCTTTTAACTCCTGTCTTGATTCTTGCGTGACAATAACAAAACAAAGTTGAAAGCCTGTGAGAGATTGTTCCAAGGTAGAGTTAGGGTGTGGCTTGAGTTGAAGGATTTTGGAAGGAAGTGTCACAGAATACTTGAAACATTAGGGAATTTGTTCACTGAGTTTCTGCCAGATTTTCACTTGTCAGTACATCAGAATTAAGGTTGAGCCAGATAAATTGTTAACAACGTCAAATTTGATTGTTTCAATATGTTCTAAATCATGGCTGCCAGGGTGAATCTTGCTGGCTTTTGCATCTTCCTCCCTAAACCTCAAAAGAATGATAGATGGACCTATTCTTTTCAAAGCGTAAATGATACCTTTATTTAGAAACAAGTGATACTTTAGTGGGTGGGCTTGTGTGAAAATATTCCACCTACTGGTAAGACCCGTGAAAAATCGTATCGGGAGTTTCGTCTTTAAAAAAGATTGTAGCATCTCATCGGGGTGAATGTTTGTCCAATTTTAAGCAAAAGCGATATAGTTTAAAGAAATTTGTTAGATCATACATCATTACTCTAAAAAATTCAGTGGTTGATAATACTCCAGATACACCCCTCGTGCTAAAAAACAAAGAAACCCTGAAGTTAAAAGTAAATCCCCAAATTTTGGTTATTCACATTAAATAATAATATACCAAAAGGCAACTTGGAATATACCGAGTATGTTTTCACTTTTTAATAACTTCACTGATGCTCAACTTTACAGGGAAAGAAAATTACCAAATAAGTTGTACCCATTCATTCAAAAATATTCATTGAATGTCTACTACATGCTGGACATTTTTTAAAGACCTTAAAATAACACTCTCTTCTATGCACTTAAACTTCCTCATGCAAAATGATTTCATTATGGGTAAAAGGTGATGTTAATAATGATGAAGATTTGTTGAGACCTGAAATGTGCCAGGCACTGTGCTTGGTCCTTTATGGCCATCATCTCTTCAGTGGTCATGGCAACCGTGTGGGGATGGAACTAATATTATCCAAGCCTTAGGATGAGACAACTAAGGGAGATTCAGGGACTAGAAAAATAGTAAGCAGCGGGGCCAGAATTTGAAATCTGACAGTGTGAATCTGAACCCAACTTCTTAATCATGATGGACGAAGCAAGTATATCTTAATTGTACTGGACATGGTGTTCAAGCTGAAGGACTCCTCATCCAAGTCATGCTCTATTTATTGTAAAATAAAAGTGACTCTTGTTCACATGGAGAATTGTCTCTACTCAGTCTAGAAAGAACTCCATAGTATCAATGCCCTCCAGCTAGAGCCCATCCTAAACACAATGGTAGTTGAAAAAAGTCTTGTTTATTACTCGTTGCCCTGAGCAAAAACATACACCATGGGACCAGTGGGGTTTCTCAGTAAGACAGTGTTATAAAGAACCTATTAGAGAATTTGGGCTTTAGTTGGGTAACAATAAATGAATGCCTATTGTTTATTAATATAATACAGTAACAACAACAAAAAAACTTCCCAATCAAAAGCATTGTGGTCTTTGGACATCTGTTTGAGCAATAAAATGTATTGACTCCAAGAGCTTTGTGGAGCTTGTATCACCAGAATGCCAAGTTAGCTTTGAAAGCTGACCAGAGTGAATGACCCACCAGTGTTTTCCGCATTTAGTACAATGAAATTATCATGCAGCATTACAAGCATGAGGCTGGATTTCTCAGACTTCTGGGCATGGCTGAGTTTTGATGGTGGTGTGCCGGAAAATGAGAAACAGAATGAGAAATCCTCATCCCCTTAGCAAATATTCATCCTGTTCTAATCTGCCACAGTACCTCTGGATTTCTCCGGTATTGATAGCCCTCTTGACACAAGTGAATTCT